AGTGCGTGCCCCGGGCAAGGAGAACCCTTACTTGGGGAAGTTCCCCTTTGACAACCCAGAAGGGCCTGCAGCCCAAGCCCCGGGGGCCACGCTGGCTCCTCGCTCTCTACAGGATGCCAACGGCCCATGTGGTTTATATTTTGCTGCAACCACAAACCTCTTTGCCCACGGATGAGTCAGGGACTCTGTGTTCATGCCCCCAGGTCCTCTGAGCCTCTCGGACTCTCCAGGCGAGCGCGTGGACCCTGCCCTCAAACACAAAAAACTGGGTGGCACCCCACTGATCACTGTTCTCCAGATCACCTGGCACAAGGACAACACAGAACAGGAAAACGGCAGGACTTGCCGGCCGTGTGAGGTCAGGGGGTTCATGTGCACCCCAAGCTTGTTTCCCAAGCTGCAAAAAATGAGGAGACCAGGCTTGCGGTTTCATAATCGTTAGCAGCCCACCTCCTGCCTCGCCTTTTTTTTTTTTTTGTCTTGGAAGAAGTACAGCCAGTGGGCCCCTTAGTGGCAAGGACGGCGAGACTTTGTGTCACATACTTTGGCTATATTGTCAGGAGAGACCAGACCCTGGAGAAGGACATCATATTTGATAGAGTCGATGAGTAGTGACAAAGAGGAAGGCTCTTCACAAGGTGGACGGACAATGGACTCGGGCACAGGGACGATTGTGAGGGTGACACAGGGCCGGCAGAGTTCGTTCGGTTGTGCAATAAGGTCGCTGTGGGTCGGGACTGACTGATGGCACCACTCAACAACATCTGCAAAATAGTAGCTTGTTCCGGTTTAAACATACACACACATCATGGATTTAATGATCTTTTCCATGTTCCTACCACCAAGAGGAAACTCTTTCCTTCTCCCACTGGGACCCTTTAGGGGTGCTGCAAGGAGCCCTGCAGACACAGTGGGTTATGTGTTGGGGTGCAAACCACCAGGTCTCTGCCACCACATGGCCAGTCTGCTCTGTCCTGAGTTGGAATGTACTCGATGGCAGTGAGTTTTGTGAGCGTTTGGTGTCACACGGTCCATGATGGAGGGGAGAAGGCAGAAAAGGAGTCTGCTGCTTGAGGGGTGTAGGTGCTGAGAGAGGGTCTTGGGGGAGCCAGGGAGCCCCAGTGAGGATGGCAGGGGGCAGAGCTGGACTGGGCCAGCTTCCCTGAACTCTATATGCACCAGGGGGAGGTGGGGGTGTGCTTATAAGTCATTGCATTTAAGCTGCACATGTAGTACAAGGTAACTTGGGTTCTTACAGGCGCCAGCTTATCTGATCAATGAAATGCAAATGCGTCTGGCTCCTGCCAAGCAGACAGAACGCTCAGTGGACATTGAAGACACAAGAGCCCTTCTCTGGACGAACCCACTGTGTCATTGGGTAGATTTTGGCTCAGAGCGACCCTGTAGGACAGGGCAGCACGTCCTCAGTGGGTTTTCAAGAATGGAACTCTTTATGGGAGTAGAAGGGCTCATCTTTCTCCCGAGGAGTGGCTGGTGGTTTTGAACTGCTGACCTTGTGACCAGCAGCCCAACTCACAACCGCTATGCCACCAGGGCTGAGCCCGTCCTGGATTTGCTAAGTGATTCTGTGATTGCGCTGCTCTGTATTTGCCAAGTGTTTCTGGGACTCTTGCACCTGTGTGCGCATGCTAGCGAGCCTGACGTCGACAGTCTCAGCTAGCTAGAGGACCCAAGCCAAAATCTAGACGCGGGCATAACAACCTGACCATCTCATTGGACTTCCAAGAACCGTTCTGGCTCCAAAAAGTTCTAAGAACTAGAATCACAGCTATGGGGAGCACTTTGGAGAGCTTTCTTCACGCAACAGAAATCCATTAGTAAGTGATTCTGCCTTTAGAGATCATTTTTATCGTGACAAAGTAGTATCCCTCCATTTGAGCGAGTGGTTTCTAATGAGCACTTGGATGGATGCTTTTCCATAGCTGGTAGAGCACCCACATCTCATTCCCCCTGCTCCCCGTCCTCAGGAATGACTTAGGAAGCAGCAGGCCAGTGACTTAGGAACTGCGGGGAGACTCCGGGAGTTGGCTGGGTGGCAATGGCGGGAGGGAGTAGAAACACCTTTTGCAAAATGCTCACAGGATGAGCAAAGGTGGAGCCTTTGAAGAGCTGGGAAAGCTGAGTCACCGTCTTCATCCCGGTAGCGCAGAGCTATGGAGAAAATAAAGTCAGTGTGAGAGTGATTGATGTGTTTAGATGGAGAGCTAGGGGATTCACCTGGCAGTGTGGAGAAGGATCGGGTGGGGAATTCGGCACCCACATCAAGCTGGTGGTTGTGGGGCAGGGGGTGTGGGCAGAAGACTCTTGCTGTTTGGCTGGAGTGAGGAGAATGGAGAGGAGTGGACGGATCCCAAAGAGACTGGAAGGTGGAATCCCGAAAGGTCCTCTTCCATCTACTGGTTCCAGGGAGCTGGGAAGGGTGCTCAGAGTTCTGCCCATCACAGAGTCAGAGAACTCAGGTAAGGGGCAGGCTGGAGGTGCATCGGGGTTGGGCAGGAGGAAAGGCATTCAGATATTGAGATGTTGAATACTGAACTGCTGAGATCAGGCGGCTCAGAACAGAAGGACATAAATTAACAGAAAGGCAAAGGCAGAACCTCCCAGGTAAACTCAGCAGTGAAGGAAGGTTATTACTGGCAGGTCACAAAGAATTTAAAAGCTTGGTGGCCTGAGGATGGGCCCCAAACTTCAACTGTCTTGAGCAACTATTTGTGAAACAGTGATTTGCCACCAAAATGCTAAAATGTTTCAAGAGTGTTACTGGGAATGAACTTCTGTGGCTTGCCCAGACATGTATTTCTGAAAGACATGATCAAGCTTTCCTATTTATAGCATTATGTACATTAACGCTGAGATCTGATTATGTAACTAATAAAATAACGGTTGGGTAAATATAGATGGAAGAAACAAGGATTTGACTGCTACCACTACTTCTTTAAACTGGGCAGTGTCCTCTTGCAGGAATACAGGTCATTATTAGCTCTCCGTAATTTTGTGCATTCATTGCATGGATGCGAGAATTCAATTGCTGGAACCCCAAGCTAGGCAGCCCCAACCCACCAGCAGCTCTGCTCGAGAAGGATGGGGCAGTTTACTTTCATAAAGAATGACAGTCTCAGCAACCCTATAAGGCAGCTCTGTTCTGCCCTATGGGTCCCTATGAGTTGAAATCAATTCAACAACAGTGGGTTTGGGTTTCGTTTCCCCAGCACCGAGTACAGCATCTGGCCCATCTACACACTCAGTAAGAACTTGTTGAATGAATGCTGTTACATAAATAAAACGAATGCCAGTTCAGAAATTCAGCTATCAGATCGCTTTGTTCTCAGGGGCCCTCAAGGCAGTGCCCACTCATAACAACCCAAGACAGGGCAGAAGGAGATACTGCCAGTCCAGCGCCATCCTCACAATGGTTATGTCTGAGCCCATTGTTGAAGCCACCGAATCAGTCCATCTCCTTGAGGGCCTTCCTCTTTTTCGCAACCCCTCTACCCAGATGACGTTGTTTTTTCAGGTCATAATCAGAGAATGTACTTCTTCACCTCAGAGACATTTCTGTTGTGGGCTTTGAGTAAGATTACAGCTAATCCCTAGGGGCTCTGGTGGCCCAGGGGTTATGCATTGGACGGCTAAATGCAAGGTTGGCAGCCCTGTGGGAGAAAGAAGAGGCTTTCTACAGTCTCAGAAACGCACAAGCGCCATTCTTCCCTGCCCTATAAGGTGGTTGCTTTCAGTCGGCAGCAACTGAAGGCAGTGAGTTTGAGTTTTATTGTTAATTCCACATCCTCGCCTTTAAATAGAACCCAGTTTTCTGTCTTGCCGGTTTTTCATCAGCGTTTGTTCAGAACATCTATTTTGTGTATAAACGCCCCAGTGAATGATGTCTTTAAACACAGGCGAGATTCATACTTCATTTGAAACCATGCTGATTTTGAGTTAACTCTGGCCTCGCACATACTAAGCCATGGGCGACTTAGTAAATGTTTGCAACTTGGAAGTGTGGCAAAGAAAACGCTCAGGAAGAGGCAGTGAGCCAGCGGAACTTCCAGACTCCCTGGGACATTATCCTGGGCGCTTGGCACTCTTCTTCCTTTGGGTGGTACAAGATCACGACCTTGTGATTGATTCTGTAGTTCATACCTGCTTTTTCCTGCCAGGTTGATCTGGGGGAGCTTAATATGGGGAGTTCCGGAGACCTTGTTTCAATAGTTCCCCAAATATTAGTTTTACGTGACAAGTGTAGGTTAGATCCTGGGGCACCCCCAAAGTCTCGGCGCCCCAAATGCCTCGAGTCTGACCACGAGCGCCCGGGTTCCAGAACAATGGGGTGTCCTTGCCTGGCGGTGATCCCTTAGCAAACGTTTACAAAACCTTAAAAGCTCCTCAACAATCACGGCCGTTCCCCAGATCCTGGGGCGCGGTCCGGGGCCGGTGGCCTTCAGAAGCTCTGAAGCACTTTCCGGGAGGTTTCCACCCAGACTCCAGACGCCTGCCGGGGTGGGGTGGGGGAAACACTGGGCGCCCGTGGCCCCGCCCCCTACGATCACTGACCCCGCCCTTCCCCACCCACTGGCTCCTCCCCTCGCCGGCTCGCTCCTCCTCCTCTTGCCAGAGTCTAGCGCCGTCAGCCCCGGTCCTAGGCCCCGCCCCTCACTCCTTACAGGCTCACAGCCTTTCGGGGCCCCGCCCCTCGCCCTTCGGGATCCCGCGCCCGTCGGCCGTGGCCCGCCCTCTCTCGCTCCTTCCCCGCCCATCAGAGTCCAGAGCCAACAGCTGCCGCCGCCGCCGCCCGCGCAGTTTGTCTCTCGCCGCCCGCCGTAGCCCGGCTCGCAGCTGGTCGCCGACTCCAAGATGGCCGCGGCGGGAACGGCTCCTGCGGCGGGATAGAGGCGGAGGCGGAGCCGAGTCACTCCGCACTTTGGGGTTCCGCTCCCCCGAGCCCGGCTGCAGCTCGCTGCCCTCCGCTGCCATGCGGGGCTGCGTGCACGGATGAGAGAAGCAGCTGCCGCCGAGCTGGTCCCCCTCCCGCCTTCACCGTCACCCCTACCGCCGCCATGGAGGAGCCGCCGCCGCCGGAATCCGAGCCCGAACCCGAGCTCGAGCCGGATCGCTGCCCGGCGGCGAGGTGAGTGTAGCGGCCGCTGGAGGGCAGGACGCGGGTCCTGTCCTGACGGCGCCTGGCCGCAGCCCAGGGGGCGTGGGGGCCCGGTTCCCGCCAGGTGGGGCGGGACGCATCCAGGCATCGCAGGCTGGGCTGGGGGCCGCGCTGCCGCTGGGGGGCCGGGGGCGCGGCCGGGGCGCCGCGGACTCTGCCCGGCCCTGGGCCGGCCGGTGACACTGCGGGCTCTAGAGCCCCGCTGTTCTCTGGGCCACCCCGAGTGCACCAGCAAAGCGGGAGTGGGGTGGGAGTGGGCGTGCAATGGGGCTCCTGCCCCGCGGGGACCACAGTCTCCGCTCTTGGGCGCGGCTTTTGCAGAGCGGCCACCGGCGCAAACAGTTCCTCCCCTCCGCCCCCGTTCTAGTGACCCAGTGGAGCCCTGCCCCTGCCCCGTCCCTGTCCTCCTGACACGGTTGTGTCCCCCAGGAGAGCTGCTGCCCATCCTGAGAGAGTTCACATAGGTTGTGCACACAGGCAGGCTTGCGTCTGTTGCCGGGGGACTTCGTCTGTCTTTTTCTCTGTTGGATTGTGCAGGATGCCGGCACACGTGCACTGAGAGGAAGGATTAATTGCTCTTAAACTTCCTTTGATATGGAACTTTGGTACCCAAAGCATTTGGGGCATAATGTCCCTGAGTTGTTGTTAGGTGTCTTCGAGTCAGTTTGAGTCGGAACCGACTCATGGCGACCCTACGTACAACAAAATGCAACGTTGCCCGGTCCTGTGCCATCCTTTGAATGGTCATGTTAAACCCCTTGTGGCAGCAACTTTGTCCCGTAGAGGCTCTATTAATTAATTTCCTGCATATCTTTGTGGGATTTTTTAAATTGGGAGGAGACCATTCTTATTTAATTCATTGAATAGCTTCCCTTTTATGTATGGATGTCTGCATGTCCACATGCCCCGTGCCCCTCGCATTTCTGGGTAAACCTGCAAAAACTGCTGCTTCCTGGTCCCTTGGATGAAGATGCTCTCCCCTCGAGGCAGCCTGCGGGTCTTGCTTTTGAGGTGGTCCAGGAATGAGGCTGTTAGTACCCCTCCTTTCTTTTGGAGCTGCCTTCCTCCTCGCCGTGATCCCGTTGGCAGAAACAGATTGGTTTTGTTTTTATAAGCTGTAGATGGTCATTGCTTCATTTTCTTGACTTCTGGTACACCTCTGTGAACTCTTAAGGACCAGCGTCTCTAAATAATGGTATAGTGTGTCCTGCAAATTCCTTTCTTCATTCCCCTTGGAGACATCTAACTTTTTAGAAGTTTTTGCCAGAAAGCTTATTATAAATTTGTTCATTCATTTTTGGAGCACTTGTGGCAGCTTTAAGTTTCTCTTTTAAAAACAGTAATAGCCAACACTTGTTACATGCTTATTACTCGGTCCCGTTGCCTCTCTTTCTGCCAACTCATTTGATCCTGGCTAATAACCCTATGAGGTTGACCTTGTTTAAGCGTCTGTATTTTACAAGTGGGGAAACTGAATCAGAGAGATTAGAATCTGGTCCAAAGCTTCCCATCTAGTACTGAACTGAAGGCCAGCTGGGTCTCTTTCTGGGCTCTATGGGAGAGGTGTGATTTTGTTTTCTGAATAGGCAGATCTGAAGCCATAATTACATGTAATGATCTTCTGGGGGGAAATACACCAACAGTGGCAGGTCAAGTAAAAGGGCAGAGAGAAACGGAAGGGCATGGCTAAAAAAAAGACCGCGTTTTGACTGATGAACAGAAACCTTGATTTTCCAGCCAGGCTTCTGTCCATCTGTGCTGTCATAAAAATAGGCCAGGACCATGGGTTGCCTCCAACTTTAAGTGAGCAGCAGTGCATGGAACAGGGAGATCTTAGCAGTATTTTTGTTAGCAACATTGCAGTTAATTTTACAGTAGCAAATTGGGAAAACAGAGTACTTGACAACGCTGTTGTTTTCGCTTTTCATGGTCTCATTGTCACCACTTCCTTTTCGATACTCAGCTGAGCTCCGACAGCCTGTGTGGGTCCTTGAGTTTCAGTGAACCTGCTTTCCCCAGAAGGTGCTTCAGGAGTTCTGCAGTTGTTGATCTGAATTGCTTTAGTTTTTGTGTTAAACCATTTAAAAGCTGCTCAACATGCACATGCAAAATGGTGCCAAATGCTACGTTTTTGCACAGCGGAGACCAGTGATGGGCTCATTCCTTTTTCTGGTCAGCTGGCTTCATGAATGGTCAACATTCCCTCTGTGTCCACCTTCTTCTGCATGTAAATTTGCTGTTGGCTAGAACAGTTGCATAAATGCCCAGGCCTTCTGTAGCATTCAGGCCTGCACTTGTTGGCCTAAAAAGCTGTATAGCAAGTGCAGGTCAGGCACAGATGCCGGCCCAGCCCAGCACCGGTGCACACACACCTCCTCACGTGGTCCTTATGCAACGACAGGGACATAGGTTGAGAGGTGGTGGTGCCTGTCACAGCGTCACTGTGCACTGAGCTCTTGGCACTGCCTCTCCTTATTTTTGAGAAAGAGTTCCTGGTAAGGATGGCAGTGGCTGTTGTTAGTGCCGACACCGTACAAGAAACGCTCCTGATTTCTTTTTCAAACTTCTGGCCAATTTTAGGATTGCAAGGTTGAAGTTCCAAGGAGAGCTATTAAAAATAATTTGTCACAGCGTACCTTTGTGAATTCTTGAATTTGTGTACTTAACATACACGGAGTAATTCTGATAATAAAGCTGACATATAAGCACTCCTATGTTTTATAACCTTTCATGTAACGTATTTATGCTAAAACGGCCTCGTTCTCATTTACTGACCTTGTAAGTACACGTTATATAAACTTAAAAACATCTCTTTTAACTAATGACTTTGTTTCCTACTGTCCACCGTGATCATCTACTGTTCTGGGAATGACAAATTGAAGAGGAATGCCACGATATGCATCATCAAAAGAATGTTTCAAGATCCATGCTGAAGTGCAACGCTGTCAGTGATAGCATGACTCCTACAAGAAATCTGGTTAATATGATTAATTTAAATCTGGTCATAATTCTAATTTATGCCCCAGCCAGTAATGCCAAAGATGAAGAACTTACAGATTCTTCGCAACTTCTATCTACAGTCTGAAATTGATGAAACATGTAATCAAAATGCATTGATACTAGCTAAGTACTCATGGAAGAGGCACACCAGCCTTTGTGAGCCAAGGATTATAAATAATACTCAAATCTGAAGGAGGGAAGAGTATAAGAGCTTATACTGTGTGTGAATCCCTGGTTTACAGAAGGCTGTGGAGGACAGTGGAAGCCCAAAATTCATTTTCAGGGTCCGCACATGAATTAAGCCTCCAGAGAATCCCCTCTGACTATCGTGAAGGGTTAGGAATAGCCTTGTTATCAGACAGCATTATACAGTTGATTATGGCAGATGTCATACCTTAGTCAGTTGAGCTCACTTTTGACCCATTTATTTATTTATTTATTTTAATAAGTCATTTTACTGGTGGTTCTTACAGCTCTTATAACAATCCATACATCAACTGTATCAAGCATATTTGTACATATGTTGCCATTATTATTTTCAAAACATTTTCTTTCTACTCGAGCCCTTGGTATCAGCTCCTCTTTTTTTCCTCCCTCTCCTCCCTTCCCACCCTTGTGATCCCTTGATAAATTATAAATTATTATTATTTTCATATCTTATACCATCGCTGTTTTCCTTCACCCCTGTTTCTGTTGTTTGTCCCCCCTGGTGGTGGTGGTGTGTGTGGAGTATTATATATCAGTCCTTGTGATTGGCTACCCCTTTCTCCCCCTACTACACCTACCTTCCACCTATCCTCATGGTATCGTTACTCCCACAACTGTTACTGAGGGTTTTTCTGCCCTGGATTCCTGTGTTGCCGGATTTGTAAGGTAGAACTGGGGTCATAATAGTGGTGGTGGTGGTGGGGTGGGTGTGGGTGGAGAGCATTAAATAACTAGAGCAGTGGTTCTCAACCTTCCTAATGCTGCGAACCTTTTTTTTTTAATCGTTTTATTAGGGGCTCATACGACTCATCACAATCCATACATATATCAGTTGTGTAAAGCACATCTGTACATACAGTTCCTCATGTTATGGTGGCCCCCAAATCATAAAATTATTTTCATTGCTGCTTTATAACTTTAATCTTGCTACTGTTATGAATCAGGTGACCCTATGAAAGGGTCGTTCGACCCTCAAAGGGGTCGCAACCCACAGGTTGAGAACCACCGAGCTAGAGGAATGTATGTTTCATCAGTGCTGTACTGCACCTTGCTGACTCGTCCCTTCCTTGTGACCCTTCTTGTGAGGGGATGTCCAGTTGTCTACAGATGGGATTTGGGTCTCCACTCCAACCCCCCTCATTCACATCAATATGGTTGTTTGTTCTGGGTCTTCTAATAACCTGATTCCATGGACACCTCATGATCACACAGGCTGGTGTGCTTCTTCCATGTGGGCTTTGTTGCTTCCCTGCTAAGTGGCCATTTGTTTAACTTCAAACCTTTAAGAACCCCAACACCATATATTTTAATAGTTGGGCACCATCAGCTTCTTCCCCACATTTATTAATGCACTCGTTTCTTTTGACCCATTTTAAAGTTATTTCCATTTTTATTATTTTCTGCTTTCTTTTTGATTGAGGTGCATATATGAACTAGAAACCGAGTAGTAATTCTTTTTGACTTTCCCTTGGATGTGAAGGAAACAATAGGCTATTAAAGAGACAGGAAAGAAAGGAAAGACCAAAATGCTTGTTAGAGGAGACTCTGACACTTACTGTTTGAACCGAGTAACGAAGTTAATGGAAGACATAATGAAAGACTGAGTAGAACATTTCAGAGGGCAGCTCCAGATGACAGAATAAATTACTGGAGTGGACTGTATAGAGACCTGGGACTAGAAACCCCAACGTGGAAAATCACACTTGTGGTGCTTCAAACTGGAACGATCAAGCCTCAAGTTACAATATTGAAGGACTCAATAT